AAACCTATAAAATAGAATTATTATCCCTACTTTACAGGTTAGGAAACTGAAAGATTAAATAATGTTCCCAAGTTATACAGCTGCTCCATGGTGAAACTGAGATTTAAATTCGGGGATTCAGGATCCAGTGTGCAATATTGTATTAATATACTTGACTGTATTTTATACAGCATTTAAAATGAGCATTTGAAATATCCCTGGGTAATTTTTTAATCAGCATCTCTATGTATCCTGATACAAGTTTTAACTTTCTGAATTAATTGAGTTTACTCTAAAACTCAGTTACTGAAATGGAATTGTCCCAAATTAAAGAATAATTTCCAATGAAATAAACATATCATTTTTGTTCAAGTAAGGAATTTGCCTCGATGAGTACAAAATTTATTAGAAGTTTGGTGTTTTGTTTGTTTGTCTGTCTGTTTGTTTGTTTGTTTGTTTAGCTGAGCTATCCTGCCACCTGTCGGCAGCTCAGCAGTAGCTCAGCTCGGGCCAGGAATCGAACCGGCAACCCTGTTGCTCAGAGCTCGCACACTTGAGCGAGCTCTTAACCAACTGAGCCACTTGGCCGGCCCTTGGGTTTTTTTTATTTTAATTTTAAAAAGTAGATAGATAAATAGATGGTTATGAGATATCATAAAAGATAAATCACTCATTTTTTCTGAATTGTACATATGTAATTTATTCATCAAATATGTTAAATAACTTCTGTGACTTGTCACATTAATAATCATTGTATCAAACCAATTATAAAAATAATACCACCAACAATTATATATAGTATATACTATATATATATATATATATTTCATTACTTTTTTCTAAAAATTATTAAATACAAAATTACATTTAAAAGTTGCAGTTATTCCTTAAAATTACCTAATTCATTTTACAAATTTCCCAGAGGGGAGTGGGTGAAGTCCACTCTTATGCCTATTCTGGACACGAGAAGAGTTGCTGTGCCCTAGGCTAGCTGGGATCATCCTGGATCTAATGCATAGTCTCTCTGTCCCTCCCTACACTAAAGCTACAGGTAACTCTAAACAAAATCTTAGCCAAACTAAGTAAAGCAGCAGTTGCTTGAAAAATGATTTTTAAAAATCTAGTCACCCAGATCCTCAAAATTTATGTATTGTGTATCTACGATATTCAGGACAAACCCTAATAATGTAACTACACAGGGTGCCAAAAAAAATTATACACATTTTAAGAAAGGAATGTGATATATAGATGATGTATTACAGAATTGTACACCTGAAACCTATGTAACGTTACTAACCATTGTCATCCCAATAAACTTTAATTTAAAAAAAATTGTAATGCAATGAATGACACTATCATTTATTTGATTGATGCCATCTTTTGAGCAAATGTCATACTACATACACATTGCTATATAATTCAATTCAACTTCGAAAAGTAATACATAGATAACATCTCTTAAAATGTGTACATTTTTTGGCACCCCCGGTATATACATTTTAATTAGCAAATAGGGTATATGTTATCAAATCAGTTTATTTCATGTTGTTTGATTTAATAACCTGATTTGCTTTTAATAAAATATTTCTAATCTATACCAAGGTATTTATGTCATTCAGTGCTTTAAAACCATATAATCAAAATTGTCAAAATAACCAGGAAATAAGAGGAAGAAAGAAAAGTGTAGGAATTCTCAAGATAAGGAGTGATTTCTCCACATTAGTGTTTCCAATCCAAGCCACCAAAAGAGACAACTTAGTAAATCTATATTGTAAGGAAACTATTGAAATAGTTATTAAATATTGAAAATAATTATATTCATAAATTAACTAAAACAAGCAGCCACAAATAAGTGTTAATTAAAATAATTTTTTAAATACTAATCTAAATAATGTAAGACTATGATTATACTTGTAAATATCAGAAGGGCATTTCAATATTTAGAAGTGTTTCTTATTAACTACCCTATATTTCTAGAAGAACAAAAATAATCACATTTTCACAATACTTCCTAAAATTAGGGAACATTTTTTACTTTAATAGAGGATGTGAAAGAGTAAAGGTTTAGATTGAATAACTTCTCTAAGGACTCTCATTCTATGAAAACATTGAACAAACAAGAAACAACTGTCAGCAATATTCATTCTCTATAGTTTAGGGTTTGTCTTTTCCTTGCTTCCCAGGATATTGTGTGTGTTAGGAGAATCATTCTCTGTGGGGCTAGTACAAACATGACTCATGTTTTCTGGATGACTCTCTCCAGTTTTCCTGTAAAGGAAACTGCATGGCCCATCCCTCCCTTGAGAAAGGAGTAGTGTAATTACTAATTGCTAAGGTCTTCTATCCCATGTAATTCATGATAGTATTAATAAACAGCAGTGAAGCTGTAAATCAATTTTGAGATCTGTTATAACCACATATAATGGTTCTTTTTCATGACAATTTGAACACACACCCTTTTAAATAAAGATTTCAATGAAATTATTAAAATGGAAAGGTCCTGGCATCCTATGTCTGATATACGTGTAGTTACTGGTTTGGTTCAGACTGGGACTTGCCCCTCCTTTATAATCTTCCAAAATAAACAATGTAATACATTTACATAGTTTCAGGAGTAAACTCAGCCTTTGCCGGGGGAAAAAACCTAAATTGACTATCATAAAACTTTCTCTCTGCCACTAGATTTTTTTTATTTTTATTTATTTATTTATTTATTTATTTTTTATGCCACCTTTGGTTAGAATCTAATGTAGTGGTGATATACACACTTTGGAGTCAGGCTGCTAAGATTCAAATTCTGGCTCTCTGAGAGCTGTTAGCTGGGGCAAAATACTCTTCTTTCATGTCTCCATTTCTTTATCCATAAAATAGGGATTATAATAATAGAACCTCTTCAGATGGCTGCTCTAACTATTAAAGGAGATAATATAAAGCTCTCTGAACAGCAACTGACACAAAACCCACAATAAACTCTAGCTATGATTATTATTCTAATTTTTTTTTTCTGATTTATTTTTCACAATCCCCTACCAGATTTTCATCAGATCAGGGAATTAGTGGATCAGCATATAGTTGTGAAACATCTGCTAAGGGACATATATTGTAAGGATTGCAAAATAACAACAACAATAATAATAATAATATAGAAGCACTGACTTGGAAAGTTTACAATTCTCTTGGCTTAGCATCATAATGTACATAAACAACAAGAAATAATAAATCATGGTAAACCATTATGGGATAAATTGCATTGTGCAGAATATGTCTTGTACACACTTAGAAAAGGAAACATCAGTAAAGATAGTTTCATGGACATTGTTGAAACTTAAATTGATCTTCAAGGATGAGTAACATTTAAGTGGGTGAAGGGTAAAGACGAGCACAGGCCGCTGACTCAGCTTCCGGCTGCCCTGGTCGCCTGGTCCCGGGACACTGCAAGGCCCAGCCGCCGCGTTCACCCGCGCTCGGCCCGCGCCTCCAGCCATGACGACCGCACCGCCCCGGTTTCTGATCCAGTACTACCACCCGGAATGCGAGGCCGCCATCAACTACCAGATCTCCCTGGAGCTCTACGCCGCTCACATGTTCGAGACCATGGCCTCCTATTTCAACAGCGTAGAGGTGGCCTTGAAGCAGTTCGCCCACTTCTTCCTGCAGCAGTCCAGCCAGGAGATGGAGCACGCCCGCAGGCTGATGTGGCTGCAGAACCGGCGCGGGGGCCGCCTCTGCCTACAGGACATGTACAGTCCTGACCCCAGCTGCTGGGAGAACGGCTTAACTGTCATGGAGGGCGCCTTCCACCTGAAGATGCGCGTGAACCAGAGCCTGCTCGACCTGCACCAGCTGGCCATCAAGATGAGGGACGCCAATCTGTGCGACTTCCTGAAGACTCACTACCTGTTCCAGCAAATGAAGTTCATCAAAGAGCTGGAAGACCATATCACCAACCTGCGCCAGATGGGAGCCGCGGAATCCGGCCTGGCAGAGGACCTGTGTGCCAAGCTCACCCTGCGTGACAGCGACAAAAAGAACTGACCTTGGACTGCCTGCCCCAATGGCACGGGGTGACGTCCCCTGGCCACGGTGTTGACCATGCACAGGGCAGTACGGCCTTGGCAGTCGTTTAACCTTTTCCTTCAAGTTTTGCCATTTTTCCCACTAAAATTATTGGTTCTTGAATATAAATAAATAAATAAATAAATAAATAAATAAATAAATAAATAAATAAATAAATAAAGAAGAGTGCATTCCAGGTAGAAAACAAGAGGGACAATGGGACAGATGAAGGTCCCATATGCTTTTGAGAAAGTAAAGGCCCTAGCCTGCCTGACTTCATTTTATCCTCATTTAACTTTTGCAGATGAGTAAGAAAATTAAGCGCCATATTTACATTAAATAGGGCAGAGATGTACAGATCTATGTCCCACAGCAAACAGCGCTTATAATTGGAATAGCATATCCCCATCTTTTCTGTTCCATTCGCTAAGCCTGACTAGTTCCATTCCATCATCTCTATTCTTGAACAATTAAGAAAATGCCTTACCCTACAGCTAAGTAGTACGAAACTGTCTTTGTACAAGGCAGTTGGGTAGGCCATGTTTTTCACTAATCCCCTATGGCACTTTCTGAAGTTTCTCACAGTGATACTTGCCATCATTTCCCAAAGCAATAGCTTCCATAGCTCCTGGACGTGTTTATAGAACAGCCAGCGTCAGAGATGTCCGATTGCTGCAACCATGTAGTCAGAAGAGTTTTTCAAAATCCAACAGACGCTTCTGTATGTCTTTAAAATTCTGTGGTCAGATTAAAGAACTGGAAGAACTTGTTTATACTGAGAGCATTTTCTTTTTCCTGGGAGGATTTTGCCCTTTGAATAATGCTTTTCTAAATCTACTGTTTTTGAAATAGAAACATACTATAATATGAACAACAGAATGTAAAAATCTGGGTTATTATCTTATGTAATTACATACGTATTTGAAGAATTTACATTTAATTTGACTTTATTTAAATATCCACAGGTGGTCCTATTGGTTCATGGAGAATTGAGAATAGAGGTAAAGTATGAAACAGTTTTTTGTAATTAAAATAATGGTTGCATTAAAAACATTAAATTGTGTTCAGGAAAAATAAATATTTACTGTTTTAAATTATTTAATAATTTAATTGTAAAAATAAAATTCTAACAAGTAACCCAATAGTAATTAAATACCAGCGATGTATAAATGTTGTTAATGTAATTTATCTCATGCATTGTTCCTTCTTTTCTTAACAAATCAACAGGTTTTAATTAAACAGGGCCTATGTGCCCAGAATAGTTAGATATTTTGGATAATAAAAAGAAAATATAAAATACCATTAAATGCTATATTAAAAAATCACAGAGCTTTGTAATTGTTTTAGTTATTTAACATTTCTTCTTTGCCTGACAAAATGGGACGCAGAGCAAATTAGACATCTAACAGTTTCAGATATCTTGAAACATAGGGGGCTCCTCACTAGGTTGTCTATAATCAATACTAAAAGCAAAAATGTTCAACAATGTGCTAAATAAAATGGAATCCCTTTTTACATAAGACCAAGGGACACCTCGGAGAAAATGGAACAGCAGTACAAGCCAAAAGGAGATACAAACGTGAATGGGTAAAATTTGCAAAACCCTGCAGAGAAGAAGAAGACAACTCGAAGAGAAACCCAATAGCCAAAGTAAGTCCTATGAAGGGGGGCAATGTGAAGTTTTAGCGTAAATGTATTAGTAAACTAAAATAATATGGCAATTCCAATTAGCAAAATGCAGATAGGAGAGTTCCCAGAACAAATAACCTATCTTCAAAAAAAAAAAAAAAA